CAAAAGGGTCCTTGTCCACCTCTGGCCAGGCCAGGCCTGTTGGCCGCACACCCAGGGACTGGCTGTTGGGCAATCTGTTTGCCTTTGGCTGAGTGAGGGCGGCAGTGCAGGGAAAACACGAATTATTTACCAGAAGAACTCAACTACTTACAGACTCCTGACGGCTTGGTCACTGGCCCTGAAAACCCTCGTGTTTCTCCAAGGCTCCGTGTACGGATTGTGCGCCTAAAAGTCCTCCTGCCGCCGCGGCACGCAGCTCCACGGTCCTCTCCTGAGGTCATCGAGCAGCCCAAGCACCGGCCTTCCCCCCGCACCCCTGGGACGGCTCCACACGAGGTCCCGCATGGACTGTGCCCCGGTCTGTCCGCCTCCCACTGGAGCTGCGGACGAACGCCCTGCACAGGGGACACAGGATGGGACCGATGTCGGCTCCGCCCACTGCCCTGTGCCCGGTGGCCACGCGCTCAGAGCCGAGGGGCTCGACTCCCTGCCCTCAGAGGCACCTCCCGCTCGGGTTCTGCGGCCACCTGTTCAGGTGTCTCTGCTGTGAGGAGGCCGGGCCTCGAACCTGCTGTCTCGGAGGTTTCTCTGGACACACACCCACATTTCTACTCTTTGCAAAAGGAAAGCAGAAGGCCCTGGGGGGCGGCTCTGGGCACAGGGGGCATGGTCGGGTCTCAGCCTCAGCCACTCGGCCAAGGCCTGGCCTGGCACGGAGCAGGTGACTCGAGGCAGGCTGGACATACTGGGCTGGGCGCTGCCCTGTGCACCATAAACACCGCCGACGGGAGAACCAGAGTGTTTAAGGCCTCCTCACCGTGTGACGGCCGCGCTGGCCGTGCTCAGCCCGGCGTCCGAGCCTGACTGGAGTCCTGGTCGGCGGCCCAGTCCTTGTTTACATTTAAACCATTCTGAGCCTCCGTGTCCTCCTCCTTGAAGAAGACTCGTAATGAAACCTACCCTCGGGACTGGAAAGGTCAAGTGACTTGATGTGTGAAAGCCGCCAGCCGCCCCCACCTGGTCCGTCCGGTGTGGAGGCTGCCAAGTCCTAAAACAACACGGAGACCAGGGAACGGCCCTGTGGTGGGTAGGCGTTACGCCAGCAGAGCGGCCTCAGAGGTGGGAGGGAAGGAGGGAGGCGGAGCGGTGGGGGGTCGCACGCCCCTCTGAGTCAGCACGTGGGAAGGACCCCCTGGAGGCCGGTGGGCACCCCGCTCGGACCTGCGGCCCCACACATGGCCCCTCGCTGCCCCTGGAGCACACACAGTCTCGACGTGAAACTGAAATGTCACGGCAAGGTCACAGGCAACAACAAAATGCAGAAACTGACACCCTCAAAGTCAACAAGGACACCACACGTGTAAAAGGGCTTGAATCTGAAATATATAAAGAACTCTGACAACCTCCTCACAGAAAACCAACTAGAAAGTGGCAAAATACCTGAACAGACATTTCCACAGACACACAGAGGGCCACAAGGACACGGAAAGAGGCCCCGTGGTCACCCCTGGGACACGCGCGTCGAGCACAGGAGACGCCCGCCCCTGCCCGCCTGGACGTCTGCCATCGATGGGACGGTAATCACACCCTCGGCGAGGGTGTGAGGGTGCTGGCGGGTTGCGGAGTCGGGCAACTGCTGTGGAAAGCAGTCTGGCAGGTCCTCGAGCTGCTACATCTAGTTATTACACAATCCAGCATTTGCTACTCGAGTATTTACCCAAAAGAAATGAAAACCTACGTCCACTCCAAAATGGACACGAGAATGTTCACGACGGTGGGAGTGGCCCGGATGCCTTGGCTGAAGACTGCAGTGACCGTCCACACGGGAACACTGCTCGCCTTAAAGCGGCTCTGGGATGAGCCCGCGGACAGGACGCCCAGCGAGAGAAGCGGGTTACACGGAGCACGCGGCCCAGAACCCCGCCCGTGTGCAATGCTAGAACGCGTGCACCCGTGGAGACAGAAGCAGACCTGCGGGTGTCCAGGCCCAGAGGCAGGGCGAGGAGAGATAGGTGGGGGACAGCGACCGGCACCACGGCCCCCAATACCGCTCGTGAAGCTGTTCTGTTGTCAGGCTGACGAGATGCCGAAGATGCAGTCCCCCCAGCCCGGGGGAAAGGTTCTCCTGCTCGGAGTCGCGGGACCTGCCGCGCTCACTCAGGGCCGACTCGTGGCACGTGGCCCCCTGCGCAAAGAGCCGTTCCTGAAGCAGATCATGGGACGGACACACCGACGGCCACTGAGACGGGCTCTGAGTGACGTGTAGGACGTGAGTCAGAGAACGCTGCACGGACAGCCACCACGCCTGGGCTGAGTTGATTAGATGCTTCTTGACGCCTAGTAAACATACACGACCCGCAACCTCTGTGCCACCCACGTATCACGTGAACGGCACGTCCCGGAACCCCCAAGGCCCACCCCCTAATCTAATCGATTCATAGTATCCCATCAACACTTTACAGAGTTTATCTTAGAGGGAACTATCCCTCATGGGTTAACATCTTTGAAGTCACGGTCATGCACCATCGCTGTTCTCATGTCCAGACCACAGCTGTGGGGGGACAGGAAGCGTGAGTGGGGGCGCCCTGGGGCTGGGCCTGGCCCTGCAGTCATCAGGGGGTGGAGGCTCTGGCGACAGCAGACCTGGTCAGCAAGGGAGGGTCCCAGTGCCAAGAAGTAGCTGAAGCATCGAGAGGACCAGGCCAGAAAGGACACCCCACCGTGCCTGCCCTGCCCAGATGGGGGGGTCGGCCAGGGGGCGCTGTGTGCATGGGATGGAGCTGGGCTGACCCCCGATGCCCATGACCTTGCTCTGACCCTGGCAGGCCGTGGACACGGCCTTTCTCTTTCCGGACCTCGGCGTCTCAGTCCTGTTTCTATGATTCCACCTGGCCTCACCCCCCCCCACTCAGGCTGCTGGTCACCCGGGCCTTTGCCAAGAGCGGGAACGAGCCCTGCCGGTCTGTCCATCGATGGCCTTGACCTTCAGACCGTGAAGAGGCAGGACCGACGCCCTGCTAACTAGCAATGGGCTGGGGCTGCGAGTCCAGGGCAGAAGTGGGCAGTGTGAGCCCATGAGCTGCTCAGTGGGGCCCTGGACTGGCCACGGGGAGCTGCCAGACCACGGACAGGCCCCCTGAGACCATGGGGCGAGGTGGCCAGGCACCTTGGTTAGGGGTCCTGGGGGGCTTGCGAGGGCCACGCCCTCCCAGCACCCCTCCCCTGAGAGCGGCTGCGGACCTGAGCCATTCAGACACTGACGTCGCGACCCTTTGAGACAGCTCCTCATGTTGTTTAACCCCGACTGTAAAATTATTTTCGTTGCTACTTCATAATTGTAATTTTGTTTTCTGATGGTCTTAGGCGACCCCTGTGAAAGGGTCGTTCGACCCCCAAAGGGGTCGCAACCCACAGGTTGAGAACCACTGCTCTAGGGGGAGTCCCGCCGCCCCAGGCCGCACACCCTCCGGCTGCACAGAGGCCTCGCCTGCGGGCAGCTGGGGTGGCCTGGACCTTCACCGCTGTAAGGTGGCGCATCCAGCCCTGAGACAGCCACGCCCACCGCAGCCCTCTTCCTGCAAGACGCTCGTAGAGAGAGGGGGGCTGCCTTTCTCACACAGACACGCAGGACCCCGGGACCCCTGACGTCAGGCTGACCTGGCAGCCGGCACCCCCAGGCCGTCACCATCCCCTGGCTCCCCTCACACCTCTGTGTGGGGTGTTCTCCACCCGCCTGGACCACCAGGCAGACCCCCCTTCCCGGAACGCAGCAAGAGGCCCGGAGACCGCGGGGCGCAGACAGGCCTCAACCCGCCACAGCTGGGCCTGCATTTTGTTCAACCTGCGTGTATCTGACGTGTGTCTGAGTCAGCTATCACCTTCGAAATCTGAAAGTAGAAAGAAACCCCTATGTGTGGCTTACCTTGGAAACTAGAAATCATGACAGGTGGCCAAGAAGCCAGACAGAGGCTCTTGCGGTGGGGACCAGGCCTGGCAGCTGCACAACCCCCCACGAGCCCGCAGCCCCCACGAATCCACAGCCCCCCATGAGCCCACAGCCCCCAGTTGCACAGTCCCCCACAAGCCTGCATTCCCCCACTCGCACAGCCCCCCATGAGCCTGCAGCCCCATGAGCCCGCAGCCCCCCATGAGCCCGCATCCCCCAAGAGACCACAGCCCCCCACAGATCCGCAGCCCCCACTCACACAGCCCCCTATGAGCCCGCAGCCCCCACTCTCGAAGCCTGGCTCTCCACTGCCACAGTGAAACGCCCCGTCTGGGGCTGGCTGGGATGGGGGCGCAGCATGGTCCCGAGCAGCCTCCAAGCCCAGGCTGCACACCTCCCGTCAGAGGAGACGTCACCACAGACGCTCTTTCTGAGTCTCCTGGGGGTGGTCTGGCGCCCAGTGCCCCTGCCCACGGTCTCTGCACTTCCATCCAGTGCTTCCCTGTCTACTCTGGTTGCAGTTTTCACGTCACCTACGACAGGACAGGCTGCGCCCACCCACAGGCGTTGTGACTGAAGCTCTCCTGGTACACGGTCATGCGTGTGCACTGACAGATCTGGCTGCTCTCGGGCAGGGGAGCAGCCTTAGCAGCTGCGACATGAAGCACCTGCCTGCAGTCCTCCACACCTGCAGGTGGCCGCTTACAGGAAACCTGGCCCTGAGCGGCGAGAGGTGAGTGTCACCGTCACCGGCACTTGGGTGTCCACACTAGGTGCCTGGTTTAAAGCGCTCTCAGTGGGTTTGCAGTGGATTCCCAGCTGTGTGAGGGATGAGGGGGAGCAGCAAGGCCCTCCCCTGTGTTGTCCTTTTGCCAAGATGAAGAGAAAGCCGGGAGCAGTCACCCAGAGTTCACCCCAAAACACCACAGGAGGACACACTGCATTTTCCACCAAAACCTAGACCTTCAGGCAACTCCAGTTCCAGCACAGACACCCCCTGCCCCCCATCCCTGTCCACACCTCACGGCCCATTCCGACCAGCACCGGCACTTACTTCATGGGTTTGAACAGCGCCTGCCCGTAATTCTGGAACGTCATGATGAGCTTGAGCTGTGTGCCCCCCGACTTCATGGCTGCAGGGGAGGGAAAGAGAACAGGTTCACCTGCTGCCCCGGACGAGGCCAGCTCTCTGCTCTGATCCCACGGCCGGGCTTCCTGGACATGGCCCAGGGCCCCCATTCTGCCTGGGACGTTTGGGGTTTCCCACAGTGAGTGCAACACTCTCCTCCCCTTTAGGCGCTGGGGCAGAATCGCTCCACAGCCCAACCCATAGGCAAAGGGACTGGCGTCTGGACTGGCTGGGTGCACGAACCTGCCAGCAACGCCTCCCTCCCCAGACACAGCCACTCACACTGACTCCCACACACACACTCACATCGACTCACACTGACACACTCACACTGACACTCACTCACACACACTGACACACCCACTCACACCCACTCACACTCACATCGACACACTCACACCAACTCCCACACATTCGCTCACACTGACACACACTCACACTGACACACTCACACCAACTCCCCCACACATGGACACACACTCACACTGACACACACTGACACAAACTTACACACTGACACACACGGACAGACACACATATACTAACACACACACGCACACTGACACACACTCACACAGTCACAAAACACTAATGCACACTCACACCCTGTCACACACACTCTCACACATATACACAGACCCCACAATGGGCTTCCAGTGAGTTTCTGGGGTCCAGAGAAGTCTGAGCAGGTTAGTTGAGGACCCTGAAGACTCCTGGCTGGCTGCACCTCGCTCATCAGAGGGGCTCCCGGGGCTCCCCATGGATGCTGGAGGGTGGGAGCTTCCCAAACACCATTTGGCTACCTGGTCACCTCCTCAGCCATGGAGGCTGAAGATTTCCCAAAAGGACCTGAGAGAAGCGTGACTGGCCACGAATGGGAGGCGGGGGTGGGGCCGTGCACAGGCCCTGAAGGGGGAGAACCAGGCTCACTGCAGAGCCTGTGGCTCTGGTGGCCACTCGTCCTGTGGGCGGGAGGGGGCGGGTCTCAGAGTGATGGGGACCCAGGGGATGCTGTCTGCTCTGTGTAGGGAACAAGCCACGGGGGGGGGAGGGTGGCAGCCAGGGGAGGGGGGCAGGTGGGGGAGAGGAGTGTGGTCTCTAGGAGGAGAGGTGGTGAAACAGGAAAATTCCAGAAATCTCTGGGACCTGAGAGGCCGCTGGGTGGAGGGCCTGGTCTTGGCACCCAGGACAGCTGTCACAGCCCACAGACGAGCCTGCACCCGTGACAGGGAAACAGAGCAAAGCCATCCACAAGCATCACTTTCCTCCAAAACGCCCGAAAGCACCTGAAACTGCCCCGCCCTGGGCCGGAGGAGGCGGTGATCCCGTGTGGTGGGACGCTGCGTGGCCCTCCTGACACGTGAATGACGGGCAGACCGCCTACGACTTGGTTACAGGCAAAGCAGCCTGGACCATGGACGCTGCACAGACGCTCTCTTCTGAACGGCGTGTGGTTGGGAAAACGTGGACGCACAGGTAGGCCACTGGAGCCCAGGGGTCTCTCCTGAGAACTGCAGGTGAATCTACTGTCCTTGTCCCTGATCTGCGCTTTCTAAATTTCTACAGGAACAGTGATGACGTCTTTCCTGAGGTGAGAACAGCAGTGTAACTAAAACTGAGCGGCCTGAGCAAGCCCCACCTGATGTCCTCATTCTTTTTTTTTTTTTTATTCTCACCCGAGGACATTTTTTCATTTTTTGTTCAGATAGAGCGGGAGGGAGAGAGAGGAAGAGAGAGAGAGAGAAACACTGATGTGAAAGGGACACATCGACCAACCAGGGCTGGGGACAAACTGCAACCGAGGTACACGCCCTTAGCAGGAACCGAACCCGGGTCTCTTTGTACCGCAGGCTGACGCTCCAACCGCTGAGCCAAACTGGCCAGGGCCTGATGTCCTATTTCTACGTAACAACGGGCCACTGGATTTAACGGTCTCTCCCTGGGCCCCTCAGAGACAGCACCTCCGCGCCTTCTAGGGCTGCGATCCCGGTTTCTCTTAACAGTGGGCAGATCTGGCCGGTCTGCTCCTCACCAGGGAAGCGGGTCCCGTCTGTGTCGTGGCTCCGCCCACAGAGCTAGTACATCATTAGAAACCAGAGGCCTGGACTCCACCAGTGACCAGGGACCACAGAAATGCCAGCCCCAGCACCTGACCTGGGCACCATCTTTCTCTTCTCTGGGACCTGTGTCTTCTTGTTGCCCAGCACGCATGCTGCCAGGTTGCAGGCCACGAGGGAGGCCCCTCGAATTCTGCTCTGATACCAGGTGTCCTCTCCCTGCAGAAGCCCACACGGAGCTGCCTGGGGTCCTGCCAAGGCCCAGGCACGGCAGGCACACGTGCCCAGGGGCCCGTGCTCCAGGTGGATCGCCCACTCCACAGGCTCAGGGAGGTGGTCCAGCTGAGGGCCACAGCAGGACCAGGGGGCACCGAGGAGGAGTGTGTGAGGTTGGGGTTCTCCTTGCAGACAGACCAGGGTGGAGATGTAAGGCAGCTTGTCCCGGAGCTGGGAGAGGTGTGGGGGTGGACGCAGAGGCCCTGGACTGGAGCTGCTGGGTGGGTGCCGGTCCTGGTCGGGTCTCCAGGTGTCCCGTTGGCCAAAGAGCCATCAAAACCTAGCCCACCTCAACCCAGGGGCGGGACCCAGCTGAGGTGTGAGCCCACCATGGGCAGGACCAAGCACACACCAGCGGCAATGTCCCCAGAAGTCATCTTCACCCTGACGGCCTCCCTCGGCCGCCTCTCCATGCCCACGGCTCCCGTCCAGGGACGGCACCAGGGCACCCAGGCTCCCTCCACACCCGCCAGCCCACCTCTCGCTGGTGGGTCCTGCCGTTCAGCTCAGTCGCCCCTGACATTCCTGAACTCATGTCCCCCACTGTGTGCCAATATATTAGTAACTAACATTGACTGATGGTCACTGACGACATGCACCACCGACTGTACGCGTGAATACATAGTAACGGATCGCTGTTGTGCTCTACTTAGTTGGACGCATAGCTCATCGGCACTGGAACTCCCGTGACCACTGGCACACGTGGACTCATCGGCACTGCCCAGACTTCAGGCCACCACGCAGACCGCAGGAGGGTGAGCCATCACGTGGCACTTCTCTGTAAGACTCACTTTGTTTTGAAAACTCTTTACCGAAGAGGGAACTGAGAACACAGCCTCCCTCCCTCCACTGGACCCGAAGGAACAACTGGAACACACACCTGTTGGGTTCCGGGGCCATCGCTGCTCTGTCTAAAATGGAGAGCAGGTGCGGGGGGGTGGGGCTGCGTCGGAGCCTGCGTGGCATTTTGTTCTTGACCTTGGACCAGACAGTCGGGAGGAGAGTTGAGGAGGGCCCAGCTGTTTGCTGCTTCTCCGTGCGTGGCTCAGGGGTGGCCTTCATTCTCCTCTTGGGGGTGACCTCCAGCCCCTGCAGCAATGGGCCTGGGTGTCTGGCTCATTGAGCATTTTCAGGTCTTTCTCCAGGCCATGGGCATGGACTCAAGGCTGCCACCCTGCGTCCTGAGCAGAAGGGGGACCTGCGGCCCCAGGCACCCAGGGAAACTGCCCAAGGGCTGCCCCAGCTACAGCCTCTTTCCTCCAGCCAATCCGTCCTGGACGCCAGCCGGCTCAGGAGTGCCCGGATGTTTGTCCCGTGGGGCTGTTCTCTTCTGTTCAGGGACCAGCCACGGGTTTGTCCAGGCCCATCTGCACCTCAGCCAAGAGGCTGCTTGGATCTCTCCTGCCAGTGTGGCTTCTTCTTTCCGAGTTATTCCACGTGCAGGGCAGTTAACTGAGTAATTTATTCTTTACATCCATAACCGTGCACGGTAGCGACTTCATTACGGCTGACAGGGCAGGCACTGCACACTTGATGCCAAGCTGAACAGAGGAGCTCATGTCTCAAGCCTTGTCAGAGGTGGCTCCGGGCAGCCAGGAGCCTGGCTTAGATGCAGCTCTGCGGCCACACCTGCACTGGGAAGGGTCTGGCGGCTCTGAGCTGGGGGACTCCGTGGGACCATCCTGAGACAAAGCTTTGTGAACCTCCAGGATCACCTCCCTGCAACACCCCTCTCTGGCTCAGGTGTGACAGTGAGGTGAGCAACTGGAAGATTAAAGTGACCACCGGGGCAGCCTGGCCAGTGTGGCCCAGTGGTTGAGCCTCAAGAGGTCGCCCGTTTGATTCCCAGGTTGGGGGCCGGATCCCCAGTGGGGGACATACAGGGGGCAGCCAATCAATGTTCTCTTTCACTGATGTTTCTATCTCTCCCTCTCTCTCTGAAGTCAATAAAGAAATTATTTTAAAAATAAACAAAGTGACCACCGGGTCGACGGCCAGGCATGGAATCCTGAGCCCAGAGCAGGCTGTGCTAACCCTGGGCAAGCCTCAGTTTCCCCGTTGTGGGATGGCAGCCAGGAAGCTGGTCGGATTCCCGGCTCTCATGTTGAGAACTTTACACCCACACTCTGGGACCCTGGGACGCCCGCGTCTTCCTTTTCCTTCACTGTGTGTTCAGAAGGTGGTGACGCTAAAACCTGACCCTAAGGCAGGCTCTGGCGCCCCCAGGGGCTGCCCCACAGGTCCCCCAGGGCCACAGCAAAGCCAGGGCAGCGCTCATCCAGGGACTCTGATCTCTGACCCTGCCCAGCAGGACCTGCTGAGCTGAAGGCCCAGCCAGGGGTTGTCTCAAGCAGCTGGGTTTTCAACCACATGTCCAGTTGGATGTGGGGGCAGACACTTCCGGAAAGTGTGTGCTTACCGGGGCCGCCTGCAGCTGGCACACGGCCAGCCCCTCTGCTGCTCACTGCAGACAGGCAACCTGGCCTGGGTGCCTCGTGTCCTGCACACCTGAACGCTATTCCATCCTGCTCCCAGGTGAGAGCATTTCCTGCTTCCTCAGACAGAGACGCCTTTCATCGGGGAGCGTCTCCGGACCCGACAGCCGGGAGAGTGAGGCCTTCCCCACGGGCTGACCCCGGAGGGGGGCCTGGCCCCACAGAGACGTGCCCAGGGGGACACTGCCCAGATGCCCTCATCCTCTGTGCTCACGGAGCCCCCCAGGGCCCTGTGACACACCCTCGGCTCGTGCGCCTCTCCACGACCTCTGGGGCAGACGTGTTCGGGGATTTCGAAATCTCCGAGGACCAAAGTGCTCTTCAGCCTGGACTTCCAGGGCTACCCCATCCAGGAAAAACACAGGGTGCGCGGGTGCAGAGGGTGGGGGCTCACCCCCAGGGAGCGGAAGCCCCAGCCCTCGCTGACATGCTCTGCGCAGAGGGCGGAGCTTGGAGCCCAGGCAGCCGACTGGTCTGGGCAGAGCTCTGCGATTGGACAACTCTAATCCCACCGCAGGTGAAAAACGGGTGTAAAAACAGCCTCCTCTCTGCAGGTTGTGCCCCCCAAGAGCTCAGCTGAGTCAGGCTTTGCTGTCGAAGGACTTGTCTGGATTTCAGATGCACAGGCTGAAGATGACAGGGTCCCGGCTTAGCCACCAGGCAGTCCCCCTGAACACGGGAGAGGTCTGTCCATCTGCCCACAGGCACTTTAGCTCATGACTGTGGAACCAGCCCCGACACCAGGACCCTGCTGTGCCTGGGGCTTGGTACCCGGTCCCAGCGGTGGGAACCGCTGGTTGCATCGGCCCTTCAGATGGACTGTGAGTGGCCAGTGAGTGGGCTCCGATGGGCCCACTGCCCCAAGGAACAGACAGCGTTAGGACCAGCTCGGGTAGCACAATCCGGGGGGGTGGGGTGGGGTGAGATCAGCTCAGATCTCTTGCAGGACACTGGTGGGCAGGGACTCACCCCAGGTCACACCCAGCCAGAGCCCCAGGGTGCCCCAAGGCCAGGCCCCTGTGGGAATGAGGAGGGAGCCCAGGTGGGCAAAGCTGCCTGTGAGCCTTGGAGGCCCACCTCCCGCACCGCAGCCGCCTGGGCTCCAAGCTCCACCCTCTGCGCAGAGCATGTCAGCGAGGGCTGGGGCTTCTGCTCCCTGGGGGTGAGCCCCCACCCTCTGCACCAGTGCACCCTGTGTTTTTCCTGGGTGGGGTAGCCCTGGAAGTCCAGGCTGAAGAGCACTAGGTAATATGTACTCGCCTCCTCACACGCACCATCTTGTGAGAATACGATGCAATGTTCCTGAGCCCACCTGACAGATGGGGAAACTGAGGCAGAGAGAAGGGCACATCCACAGTAGCAGAGCATACTTTTTTTTCTAATCCTCACCTGAAGATATTTTTCCATTTATCTTCACATAGAGTGTGAGGGAGGGAGACAGAGAGAGAGAGAAACATCGATGCGAGAGAGAGACATCCACTGGTTGCCTCCCGCACAACCCCGACCAGGGACCAAACTGCAACCGAGGTACGTGCCCTTGACCGGAGTCGAACTGGCGACTCATTGGTTCGAGGGCTGATGCTCTAACTGCTGAGCCACACCCACCAGCGCAGTGCAGGCTCTTTTAATGCGACCATTGCACTTCCCTAAAACCCCCTAAAATGTTGTTCCCGTTTCCAGGAAGCCCGCCCCCCCGCCCCTTCCACAGCGAAGCCCACGCTCACCGAAGACCCAGGTTGGGGCTTTTCTGTGGAAGGTCCTCCCGCCCCTCCTTCCAGATGGAGGCCTTCTGCTCTCTGAACGCCCTGGACGGTCTGTCCAGCGTGTCGAGAACTTACTCCTGGTCAGTGTGTGCGTCTTGCTGCCCCTGGAGCTCTCGGTCAGGAGGCAGCAGAATCTCGTCGGGGCTGGGTTCATCCCCAGCTCCCCCCACCAGAAGGGCCTGAGAGCAGGAGGTGCCCCAGAAGGTCTGCTGAGTGAGCGGATGGAGGCGCTGGCCAGTGCCCTGAGTGTTTCTGTAACCGCACGGCGGGTCTCAGCGTGGAAAGGGCACCCAGCTGTGGTTCTCCCCGACAGTCCCCGCCATTCACAGGGACTGCGTTCCAGCCGAAGCCCTGAGCCCTGGAAGGGCCAGGAGGGAGGGCTGGGGTGGCAGGGCTCAGGAGAGGCTGCCAGATTGCCCCTGGGCAGCAAACGGAGAGGAAGACCACAGCTTTGGCCATGGGCTTTCTCTTGGGTGAACATCACAGGCTGTGAGGAGCTGTGCGTTCTGTCTTCCCATAGCAAGGCGGCCCCTCGCAAGCAGCTCAGGGCTGGGCAGAGCCCAAACCGCTCCTAAAGAACGTTGGAGAACTTGCCTGTCGTTCTCATAGGCAACCCTAACGGCCCTTTGCAGTGAGCGGACAGAACCCCCGACGGCTGGAGCCCTTTAGCCCCAGAATTGCTAACTGCTGCCGTGGAGCCAGCGCCACGGAGCCAGCGCCACGAAGCCGGTGCCACAGAGCCGGTGCCCTGAACAGCCTGCCCCACTTGCACGTCCCCGCCAGGCTGTGCGCCCTGCAACGGCCCTGGCCGGTGCCTCCCACCCCAGGCTCAGCCCATTCTCCGGGCTTCTCCAAGGCACTGTTCACTGATAGGGACCCTTGTGAAGAACGGCCTGCAGGCCCGAGGACAGTGGCACAGACCTCGGTGCTCAGACACTGCTGACATTTCCTGGAGTTAGTAACTGGTGCCCTTTTCCCCAATTCAGCAGATGCCAAAGTGCTCAGAGAAGTTGCCTCCCAACTCGTACGTGCATGGCCACCTGAATGGTACAGCCCTGGCCACTCCCCATCCCCGTGGAGCTGTGGGAGCACCTGGCTGACCTGGGGGCCTCCGGATGCTCTGCTGTGCCTCCCCCACCCTGAGGGGAGGAACACAGCCATCTCTTCTTTACTCATGGAGGTACCTGTGCCCCCCCTCATCTGGGGAAGGGCTGAGCACGGCACCCCTCACCCGCTGACCGCAGAGGTCACCTGTTCCGACTCTGAGGCCTGCAGGCCCAGTGGGGACGCTCCATCGAGTGCTCAGGGGGTACCTACCGACACTGGTGATCTTCTGCACACTGAGGTCCCGCAGCAAGGCATCGACCACTGGGTTGTCCCTGGAGTACAGCTCGTACCGGTTGATGCCGATGTGGAACTTGAGCCAGTTGGGGTAGCTGTCCACTGCCGCCTCCCCCGTGGGCGAGAACTCTTCATCCTCGGGGCCCTCGTGTGGCCTGCAGACATGATTGTGACCCAGAGTCAAGAGACAGGACAGACAAGGAGGGGGAGCTGGCCTCAGGCGCCAAGACTTTAACTTCAGCTCCAAACACTTGCAGTTTAGTCAAAGTTGCCTCTTGGGCAAACGGGACCCTGCCGTGTCCACGTTTTTTCTGTGGCTGTTGTTCTGCCGACTAATAACATATCTAACGGCCCGTAATTCTTACCTACCCTCTGAGCCGCCAGACAGCTATAACTACAGCAGGAGAAGCCCCAGACGTCGGCGGCAGGCCCCACCGTGTCTGTCCTGGGGTCACCAAAACAGCCCAGCCAGCATGATGTCAGCTCTGGGTCCAGGGGCCTCGGCTGTTCTCTGGGGGCAGGAGCTCCAACTCATCTTTGACCACAGACTGCGAGGCTTAGACACACCCAGTCTGTCAGAAACTTCCCTGGGAACTTGGCTTTGTTTCCAACAACCAGGGGTAGGAATGATGCAACAGGACTAAATTTAATTTTAATGAGAGCAGTCTTGGGTGGGAGAGAAGGAGGCAGGACCTGCCACCCACAGGCCACCCTTACCCGTCTGGGGGGCAGACCCTGCTTCCTGCTGGGCTGGAGGGAATGGTGGACTGCGAGGCCCTTTGGGCCCCAAGCCCACCACCACCGTGGACACGATGCGGGGGCCACTTCACTGACCACCGTGCCTGGGCTCTGTTTTCCTCTAAAGGAGCCACAGGCCAGGCCCCTGTGGCTCCAATTCCCAAACTCCTGAGCATCCCCTTAAACCTGGCCAGCAGACAAAGCCCAGAGGCCCCCAAACAAACACCTTGGTGTGTTCAGACACAATACATGGGGCCCGGTTAAATTTCAGGGGAGAAGGGATCTTCACAAGCTGTTTGGGACACCTGGCCTTTCCCCTCTGTGGCCTGGGTAACGTCCTGCAGGGAGTTATTTACTCCGGCCTCGCTGCTGGTTAATATGTCACTACTCTGGTTGCAGCATCCGCTCAGCTCATCGTGATCTTTGTGGCTGAGGAGGGCCGTGGGGGGAAGGGTTGACACCAGGGTAGTAAGAGATGCTCCTCACCTTTCAGGAAGCTGTCACGGGGGCAGCCAGGACTGGTGGCCCATTGGCTGTGAGAGCCCCTTTCTTATGCCTTTTGGGGCCGGACACCCCTCTGCTGACTGTTCTCTACTGGTCTACACAACCCCACCAGAGCACTGCCGCCTGGCATCTAAAAGCCCGGCAGCCAGCAGCTTCCCAGGGAAGGGGCAGGGGTAGCCTCACGTTCACACCCTCAGAAGCTCATCCATTCACTGCCTGAGTCCATTTCCCAAGCCACTGACCAGGGCCTTGCAGGCACGGACCCTGCCCTGGCTCCCATGCCCAGGCGGCCTGCCAGGCCAGCTGCCACAGGGGCAGCTCCAAACCGCTGGACAGCCTTCTCAGAGCTGCAGGCGTCAGACAAAGGCAGTGCCCTGAGCAAGAGGCAGCAGGTGGCGGGCCCAGGAAGCTTCCCTTCCCAGGGGCCTTTGGGTCTCTGCACACCAACCCTGGGATTCGGATGGGCCTTCTCTGGGGTAAGGCACACAGGTGGGCCTTATTCTAAGGGGCGCGTGCGTGGCTGCCTGAGGGGTCGAACCGGCAAGGGCCCACCCTGTATGCCCCTGGACCCACTCACCAGTTGGGGTTTTCTGCCGCCGCTTTGGGGTTGAACCTGATGTCGCTGTTCACATTAAAGAGGACGTCGTCCTCAGTTAGCGGTGGGACGGCGACCTGGTAGAGCGGGTGTTCAAACAGCCTGGCCAGGAGGGAGCCATCCCCGCTTGGGTCAGGGGGCGGCAGCGACCGACGGGTACCAGGGTCTGGGAGTAGAGGCCGGTGCGCGGGGTCTCGGGGTCTCAGCGCGCCTGGATCCTGCCTCCGCAAAGCGCCCTCGGCTGGCTCGGCTGCGGGCGGCAGCTTCTCCAACGAGTGGGACGTGAGGTTGGAGGAAGGGTCGGAGCTAAAGTCCTGCAGGATGCGCAGCGTGTGTTTGTTGGGCCAGCCCGAGTCCCCGGCGGCGGAGGCAGCGGCCGGAGGCTCCCCGGGGCGGGCCCGCGCCTTTGCCCAGCCCGGTGCTGCTGCCTCGGCCGCGGACTGCGCGCAGGAGCAGCCGGACTCCCCCGAGGGCCGGGCAGCGCGCCGCTCCAGCTTAGGGAGCAGGTCCAGCACGATGTGCAGAGCGCAAGCCACCAGGAACACCATCAGGATGAGCACGCGAAACCTGCGCACCAGGATCATCTTCATGGCCGCACTCACCGCGGCCTGGGGCTCCCGGAGCGTGCCCGCCCGCGCCCCGCTAGTCTAGGCTAGGCACGAACGAGGTGCTGCGGCTCGGGTCAAGGTCCATCTGGCGTCCAACAACTACCAGCTCTGGGGCTGTCCCCGGGCCCGCACCACGTGTAAGGAGCCCACCGCCAAATCGCCTGCTCGCCGGGCCATCTCGGGGCCGTTCTCTCTCGCCTCTCCGGAGCGGCCGCGCCCTCAGCCTCCGGGCCCAATGGCCCTCGTCCGTGGAGCTGCGGGCGCACTGGGGTGAGGCCCCGCGCGCGCAGTGGGCGGCTCTGGTCTCTGGCCGCGCTCATCAGGCGCGAGGGGGCCCAGCGTGGCGCCCCATTCCGACCAGGGCGCGGCGGCCTGGGGGTGGTGGTGGCAACCGCGCGGCGCAATCTGATCCGGGGCTCCGTGGGCCGCTCTAGGCGCCGGGCCTGCCGGGCGGAGAAAGGGCGGCTCTTTCGGGTAGGGCTGGGCTCTCTCACTCTGTGGTCCGGAGGCCGGGACCTGGAGGGGAATGAGGGCGCAGGGTCTCGGGGACAGAGAGGGAGGCAGGAGCGGGGGTGGGGGCGCACAGAGCGGTGGGTGAGGTCCCCAGCAGGTGCAGTGGCCGCCCGGGACCGCAACGCCCGCACGACCGAGCCTCTCGATGCCCCGCGTCCCGGGCGGGCAGATATCCGAGTGCCGCGGAGCCGCCCCCCCGCGTCAGCGCCCGCAGATTGGCGGAGCCGCAGCCCCGCGAGTCACTGCCGGGCCCTGGCCGACTCCGCTCCCTTTCTCTTTTCTCCTCCCCTCGGCCGCGCCCCGCGATGCCTTTGCAGCTCCAGGCCCGCTAAGGAGAGGGCGCCTTCCCACCGTGGTTTGCCGAGAGAAGACGGAGACGCCCGAGAGAGGAAGGCGGGAGCGCGCCGCACGGGCGCGCCTGGCTCCTGCAGCCGGAGAGGGTCTTCTCGCCACTGTGGGCGCTGTCCGGGCGGGCTCTCCGACCAGGTCGCTGCGCCCAGGACTCGTGCCCGCCCGCCCGAGGCTGGCTGCCGCTAGCTTCAGCCTCTCGGCTCCTCCCCGGCCGAGCCGAGGGCCAGAACCCAGGCCAAGTCCCTCCCCGGAGCCTCTGGGCGTCTGCGCCGCCAGACGGCGACCTTGTGCCCCACGCCCGCGCTGCGGGCGAGGGAGAGGAGGAGGGGTGATGGGGCGGTCGCCGGAGAGGACGAGAGGAGCGAGGAGCGCGGTTTTTGACCCAGATCCGGAGCGTGCGCGGGAACAGCGGCAGGCTCAAGCCCACGGCCGGGCCCCACCCTACCGACAGTGCAGCACGCCTGCGACTTAACTCTGGAGTCGCTGGCGCCCCAGCTAGGACTCGCCGGGCACAGAGAGGTACCAGGTGTGTGCTGTTCCGGAGGGCCGCGTGTGTGTCTGTGTGACGGTCTCACTTGCCTCCCGGCTGCACGGAATCGGCCGCGCAAACCCAGAGGCACGTTACTTCTAGCTGTGGCCTCTTCTGGGCCCACACAGCTCTGGACCTCGAGCCCATGGGGATAGGAAGGTGAATGTCAGCCAGAGACACAGGGAGGAAGTAAGAGAACCTGGAGCCCGCGGCCCTCCTCCCCTGCTCAGAGGCACAGTTTCCAAAGCAGGTAGATGAGAGCGCCCCCATCACAGCCTCCCCAGCAAGGCCGAGAAACAGTCTCTTGGGGTGGGGGTGGGGGGGGCGGGGGCGCCATTCACTCGCTGTGCCGTCTGGGCGTCCCAGGACCCCCCGGAGACCTCAGCTTTCTCTTAGTGGGTTCAGGGTGCATTGTCCCTGTGCCCACCCTTGAGTCTCAGTGCCTGATGTTCCATAGGAGCCACCTGGACACTCACCGAGTGAAGGAGGGGAGCCCTCGCTCACCCGGTCTGAAATGAATGTAAGGCTGGAGCCCTGAAGATGAGGGGTGGGGGAGGGGAAGAGGGTGTCCATGGATTTGACTGGGAGATGGACGCTTGGGACAGTTTCATCCTGGAACTGGCTTCCCTCCCTCCCTCTCACACTGACAGCACCAGATGTGTGCAGGAGAGGTACCTCTGCACCCGGTACCAGAGGCCGCGGGAATGATGTCTGCGCTGAGATGCAGGTTGACAAGCCCACTCCATCTCGGGGAGGGGAGAGGAGGGGACTAACCTCCGCACAGAGGAGCTTATATCTGTGTCTCCTTGGCCTTGGGGTTCTCCAGCCTCCACACCCCACCAGCCCTCTCATGGTCAGTGTCCTCAGGGTGGCATGGGGTGGTCTCATCCTGTAAACCAGGGACATCAGGTGTGGGTCTCACTGAGGCTTCCTGGGCACCTATCCCCCCCCCCCCCCCCCAGCTCGAGGTTGGTTGGACTCCCCCACCATCACTGGATGGATGTCTCCCTCGAATGCTGCCTGGTTCATTCAACTGTCCCCTTGGAAGAGCACCCTGCCACTAACTAGATTATGCTCCTGTGCCTCCGTCCCCCCCTTTCCCAGCACACCACTGGGGTCAGAAATACCGCCTCCTGTTCTGCTCACTCCATCCACACAGGACCCTCTGAGAGGCTGTTCACAGCTCTGCCCTGGGCCGGGCAGAGAGGGGGTCAAAGAGGGCACCACGAGCCACTGTCCATTTTGGTGTCAACAGGTTAAGGTGACACATGGGAAAACCCTGTGGACAGAGTGCGGAAAACCTTTGGCGGGATGTTTGGCTGGTGTCTGTATTCTTTGCTCCTAGTAGTAATTTGGTTTGATTCAATGTATCCATCCATGAAATCACAAAAAACAAACATACACACATATACACATACACACATGTACCCAAAGACCACATACATAGACACAAAAACACATGTACATGTACACACAGAGAGACACAGACACCTATGTATACACATGTCATGTACACAGAGAGACACATGCACATATATAAATAGATGCACACACACAAGGATCAGAAGCTCCCACAGGCCTCTGCCTCATTGTGGGGGCAGAGGCTGGGCTGGACGGGCTGGACTCTGGCGAGGGCTCCAGGGAGTTAGCATGTGGTCTCAATGGAGACAGGGGGATGATTCTGGGGGCTTTTTCTTCCCAAAGCCAATGTGTAATACGTCAGATGGTGACAGGGATTACGCAGAAGAATGTGCAGCTGGGAGGGAACCAGATATCCTGGGGTTCAGGGAAGGCCCCGGAAAAAGTGACATTGGAATAGAAGCTCAAATGTGAGGGAACAGGACCTTGGTCTGTGGGATGGTGTTCTGAGCACAGGAATGAAAAATGCCGAGGCCCTGGGTGGGGCGCAGAAGAGCAGGGGGCCTTGAGGTTGGAGTTGAGAGGGAGGAAAGGGGGCTGGGACATTCCAGAGGGATGGGGGAGGGGAGCAGACGTGCCAGCTTCCTCTGGAACACCCAGCCCAGTCTCCCCACTGCTCCCCCCAGGCCAGGCGTAGAGGAGAGATGACCCAAGGGACCTGCCTACACCTCTTGGATTCTGAAATGTTTTCCTAAGGGTTACTCATCTAAGACTCCGGGCTGCTGACCACAGGCCCAGTGGCCACAGACTATTCTGGGAGCTGAGAGTGGGCAGCTGGGCGGCCGGAGGGCTTGTGCTCAGGCAGAGGGAGGAGGGAGGGTCGCCGTCTTCACTGGGGAGTGTGGTTTAACCCTTGTCTGGTGGCACAGAGAACATGGCAACATTTCTGACCTCCCCCATGTGCCTGGGCCTTGGGGCTGATGGTCATGGGCCTGGGCAGGCGGGATGTACCTGGGATGGGGACACAAAACCGGTGTCCTCTGTGCCGGGTTCGAGGGATGGTGGGCTGTGGGGAGAGGGGACTGTCTGTGGACAGAGGTGGCCTCATCCCTAGGCCTCCAGCACTGACCCTCTAGCGTGTCCCTCTCCTTGCCAGTCCCTGGCCCTCTCATCTCCAGCCACACAGCCACATCCTGGGGTGGGGGGAATAGAGCCTCTTTCTTGTCGTCTGAGATGACAGACCAAGAAACCCCCCCAAAGCAAATAAAACAATAAAAAGCTCAATTTTATTTTCTACATATTGTATCATTCAAATACATAATTTATATTCTTTTCTATCATACATGAAGTAACCACAAAAACTATCTGTTGAATATAAGGGAAATGTCAAGAATTCCAAAGGGAGACATCAGTGTGCTCACTGAGGGTGTTTATACACACACATGTATGTAGTCTGTAGTCTACATGTGAACACAGTGCCGTTTAATAAAATGTAAGGTACACTTTGAAAATATTTCTACTGCCCAGCCGGTGTGGCTTGGTGGTTGAGCATCGACCCTGCACCAGGAGGTCACCAGTTTGATTCCCAGTCAGGGGACACGCCCAGATTGAGGGCCTGATCCCCAGTGGGGGGCGTGCAGGAGGCAGACAGTCGATGTTCTCTCTCATTGATGATTCTTTCTCTCTCTCTCTAAAAACCAATTAAGAAAAAAAGAAAAAGAAAATATTTTTACCTGGAAAGTAATAACACAAATAAAAGCACTCATATATAATTTGAGGGTTTTGAAGGAAACCAAAAGGACAAATTACAAACTATTAAAAATGAACACAAATGAGAACAGCACCTAGTGTTTTTTCTTTATTGATTTTAGAGAGAAAGGAAGGGAGAGGGAGAGAGAGAAACATCGATGAGAGAGAACATCGATTGGCTGCCTCCTGCACGCCCCCCACTGGGGATCGGCCTACAACCTGGGCGTGTGCCCTGACCGGGAATCCAACCAGCGACCTCTTGGTGCAGGGTCGACGCCCAACCACTGAGCCACACCGGCCGAGCGAGAACAGCACCTATTAAAACCTACAGGACGCCACCACGGGGTGCTTGGAGGATATTGGGAGGGATAACAGCTTTTATTAGGAAACGTAATGACTTACATTAAGTGTACGAAGCTCTTAGTTTGAGAAGCTAAGAAAAGAACAAGTGTAGAGAAAGAAGAAATAATTCACGTGGAACAAACCAGAATCGAACGCAGTGGGCAGTGCAGTGGTGCGGCCGGCTTGTAAACAGGACACGTCTCTGCAGAGACCACGGAAGGAGCCGACACGTGGAATCTGGTGAAGGAGAGAAAAGACAGGACAACGAGAGTGTCTGGCGGACTGAGGAGCATTGTGCTGGCGACAAGGACGGTGCCAAGTCCCAGAAAAGGTGGTGCCCTCCTATCCGACGATGCAGACAAGAAGGTATTTTAAAGAAGCATTTAAATGACTAAAATTGACAGAAGTACTAGAACCTGGACGCAGACCACACGTCACAAGGAAATCCAGAAGGGTCAAATATTCATCCCTGAAAGCAGAAGCTGGGCCAGTTTTCTGAACAGTTTCCTCAGACACGTGACATGCTCCTGACGTCGCCCCACAGGGAGCTCTGGGGTTCTGCACGGGGCGCGTCGCAGGTGCCCCGTGCCACCTGGAGGCAGAGTTACTTCGCTGTCTCCACTTCACAGAGAAAAGCATCAGATTTATCAATAGGTGTTGAAAGCCACATTGTCAAATTCAACACATTCCTGTTGAAATGTCGAGCAAACCATGAACAGGAGGGAGTCGTGTCCCTGAGAGGGCACTGCGGGGAGTTGTCGGTGACACGTTCTGTCTTTCCCTGGGTAGAGGGGAATGATTTCAGAAGGTGGCATTTGTAAAGTTAAAACTCATTCACCAAGCGTTATTTTGTGCATGATTGTAATCTGTAGGTTTGTGATCGCAGTTGAAAATAGGAGTATTAGGCAAATAAGACGTGACATTTAGAGGCCAACGTAAGGTTTAAGTGAGAATAAATTACAGCAAAACACCTTATTCAGAACCCTCAAATTAGGGGGTCTGGAACAGAGTCCGTGCTGATATGCCACATGGGGTGGGGGCCCTGGGGTCACCCCGAGGCTGCAGCTGTGCTGTGGGGCTCGGGGACACCCGTGGCTGTGGGTGGTGCAGCCACACGGACCAGGCCACCTGCTCCTCGGGTACAGGCCCCAGGCGAGCCCTTCCCTTGGGGTCCTTCCCTGCAGGTCTGTCCTTTGCAGCTCCAGGCTCTGCCCTGGGGCGATGTGGCCAGAGGGGCCCCCACAGCCCTTGCCAAGGAGGACGTCCGCCCTCCTTCTCAGTGTTACCACAGAACCAGCAGACCAGGACGGGGCTCAGCTGTCCTCTCAGAGGACCCAGAGGTCATGCGGGGACCACCGCGAGCAGATGTGTCCAGTGGCACAGGTCACTACCTGAGCCCAGCGTTCCCGCGCGGTGCCCAGAGGGATGGAGGGACGGGTCCTGAGCACATTCTCCACACGTTAGTGCTGGTAAGGGGAGGAGCTGCTAAAACGGCCATCAGGCGCTGAGCGGTGACAGTGTGGGTGGGAAGGGACTGCAGGGACAGCCCTGCAAACAGCTGCCCAGATTATCATTTCTATTGGAAGTGAGCACTGAGGTCACTATTCAGACTTTTATAGGCCATTTCCTGGCTGAGCCCCAGCACGGCTATGGCTGCAGAACGTGCCGCCGCGTGACGGATGACAGATGGCGTCCATGGCACATCCGCATGATTGTGTGACGATGGCCCCGTGGCGATGGCCTGTGGACGTGCCCCTTTGCAGAGCCGGTCCGGTCCGGCATGGGGTGGGCTCCTCACACCGCGGCCTGAGAGGCCCTGGGTACTCCCAGGAATGGGGCGGGGTTGGTTGGCCCAGTGGACCCTGAGGGCGAGTGTGTTCCAGGCTGGAAGGCGCCTCCTCTCTCCCCATCCCACCCCTTTCCCTGCATCAGGAGCCGAGCAAACTCCGTCCTGTCTGAGCCCCCCATGCAGGCCCACAGTGGGGTGAAGGCTGAGTCCCTGTGGTCTTCTGCTCAGCCCTGGAGGCTGAGGGATGTCACCGTGCCCCAGACCGGCTCCAGGCCTCCCCAGCATTGAAACGGAATTTGAAAATGTGGGCTGATTTCCTAGTCCAAGGAAATCACTGCATTTGGCCGAAAGAGGCCAGGGCTTAAATGTCCTTGAAACCAACTCCGGCTCCTCCGCTGCTCTGCTCCAACAGCTTAAAGAAACGCCAGGTCCTGCCCGAGGGGCCAGCTCTGGTGGGGGCTGCTGAGCTGCCAGGAA